GCTCCAGAGACGTGCGGAGCATGATCGTGCCTCTACTCTCGGGGTGCCCGAGGACAGGCTGGGGGGACGCTGGTCTCAGACACCCACCATGAAACAGCGCAGGACGTCAGAGAACGGAGGGACGCGGGAGGGATCCTGGCTGTCACTGTGGGGACCCACTCAGAACCCCAGAGTCAACACAGAGATTATTTTAAGACGAAGGTGTTTGAGATCCAACCGATGCAGGAAGCAGCTTTCTCAGAGCTTCCATTATCTGACTAAAAGCAGAAACTTCTGAGAAATGAGGACTAGCATAAATTCCCTCTTTGGAGTGGCTTCTAATCCCAGGGGAGAGACCAGAGTAAACCTACCATAAATCCCCTCTCTAAGGAATTTCACGGCCTATGAAAAAGACAGAAAGACTGCTTGTGCTTGCATAAACCAACATTTTTCACGAACTTTCTTATCTCCTATTTGTTCTCCTAAAAACCCATTTGTCTTTCATAAAGAAGCCTATTTGTTCTTCCCCTACAGCCTGTTGCTCCATACTCTTTCCCCTATTAAATTAGCTATAACATACACATAAAGCTCCAAATCCTAAACTCTCCCTTCAAGTTACTCATCACGAAGCACTCCTTCGTGTGTGTGCATGCACCTTATGAAAGTAAAACAGTCTTTTCTCTTGCTCATCTGTCATCTGTCAGTTTAATTTGCAGGCTCCCAGGAACTGAACCTAACAGGGTAGAGAAAAGGTTGTTTTCCTCCTTGCCATCAATAAGGAAGTGTGAGTGGCCTTTCAGTATTTTCCCACCAACCAAAGCAGGGGTTAACTTCCACATGTGAGTACATAGGGCAGGGTGGAGAAAGACAGATGTAGATGGAGAAGGGAGAGTGCTGGAAAAATGGGTCTCTTTCAGTAGATAAGAGCTGAGAAAAACCAAAATGGATTTTGAATCAAAAGGAAATACAGAGTGAAAAACCCAACACTCATGTAACAATCCACTCTTAAATATCAGGACGGTCTAAGGGGGAGGACTCCAACTTGGCCCAAGTTCTATCATTCATTTGCAAAACGACCCATAGCAGGACCTTTTCACAAAACTTGGTGAGGCAGAGATAGGGGTGTGAGAGTGTAAAACAAGGTTCTCTTCCATCAGGCTGAATCCTCGCCCTCGAATACTGAAGGAAGAATTTAACTCTGCAGAGACAGAGAAGCTTCACAGGCTGTGAGACCATCACTCTTCTCCTTAGCAACCGTGAGATATGGTCCTGATTTCCTTCAGAAGAGAGTCTTTCCTTCATTGTCACATCTTCCTGATCATCAGAACTACGGGCAACACTTTGGTTCACTGGCTTCCAGTCCTAGGATACTCAACCCCTCAGAAACTCTCTTCTTTCTGGATTCCTACATTTCAAGGAATGAGAACTCTGTGTAATAAAGGGTGTGTGTGTGTGTGTGTGTGTGTGTGTTTTCGGAAAGACCCCATCCAATTCAGAACATCCTAAACTGGTCTGTGTTTGCAGCAGAAACACCACGCCCGTAAACCTGATGAACTTAAGCGCGTGCAGAAATTCAGGCTTGTGCTCCCCAAACTGGTCCAGCCGCCTGCTTCCTGTAATGTTTACGGCGTACGTTTTCAGGAGAGCAAGTGCACAAATCTGAGCAAGGTAAAAATTGACAAATGAACCAACTAATAATTTTTTTTTCCAGTGTAAAGTCTCTGTTTATGAATCCTTTTCCACACAAATCACTCTGCAGCCAAATATTACATCTGGCTACTCACAAAACAGGAGCATGAGTAAAAGACCAAAAAAAGTGAAAGAGAAACACATAAAAAATCAGTAATTGCTTATGAAAAAGAAACCAAAATATCATTTCCGTAGAGCCAAGCATGACTCACCTCTAAGTTGTGATTTTCCTTGCGTTTGTCTAAGTGATAAGGAAGTCTCATTCCCTCCAAATTAAAGAGGACATTTCCTCTTTAAATATTCTGAATAACTGTAACAAAGGACTGGGAAAATCTATTAAGCCTTCACCTGGATGTTATAAAGATGATCACAAAAGCCACTCAAAGCAGAGTCTTTCTCCCCCAAGAAGATTCTAGAACATGTTGGAAAACATATAAGTGTCTCTAGATGCACGGAGTTGGAATTTTTTTTTTATCCCCCAAAGGTAGAGCCTAAATTCCTCCTCCTGAAATTCAAAATAATGTAAGTCAATTTAGTATACTTAAGTTCATCGGAAAGAAAGAATCTTCTCTCCCAGGACTGCTAAAACGAACTACATGAGAATCTACTTTCCCTTTGACATCACAGCTACCCCAGTTTTGCCTTTCAATACATGTTGAAGACTCAAGATACAGAGTCCTTATACGGTGTTCAATACTGCAATAATTGCTTTTAGTATAAAAAGTATGATTGTTAGATTATTTTTTTTAAATGTTTTATTTATTCATGAGAGAGAGAGAGAGAGAGAGAGAGACGGAGGCAGAGGCAGAGGGAGAAGCAGGCTCCCAAGGAGCAGGGAGCCCGATGCGGGACTCGATCCCAGGACCCCGGGATCATGACCTGAGCCTAAGGCAGACGCTTAACCATCTGAGCCACCCAGGCGCCCCTGATTGTTAGATTAAATAGGAAAAAAAAAATCACCAAGGGTCAAAAGGTGACGATGTTAAGTTTTTCTCCTATGCACAGGTCAAACCTTTTTAATGGCATCTCCATCCTCTCAAGGAAATGGGTCTTTTCTCTTCCGAAGAGGAAGAACCAGTCAGAAACCCCGGATGCTCAGCTCAGTGACAGCCCTCCCAAGCCCCAGGGGTGGATGACCTCATGATCTCACGTGGACCTCATGTCCTCTCCTCCTGAGAGCACTCCTTGTGATACCATCATTCAAGGACCACAACCCAAACAACAGAATGCCTTAAATGCAGGTCCCCCCTCAGGAAGTTAATTTATTCACGACAGAAAGCATCTCAGCCTTTCAACAAAATGGGAAGAAGCTGGGGGCTCTCTCCTCTCATTTGCGCAGGTTGTCAAGATCTAAAAAGTTGTCCTTTTGCCTCAGAAGCGAAGACTCAACACATGGTATCCTAACGGGAACGCCCCCTCCCACCTGTAAATGTGTCATCATTAGCAACTGTAATCCAGCACACTCGAAGACAGACACGTTCTCATTATAAGCTGCTTCGTAAGATCTTGCTAAGGAACTCACTGTCATATCCGATCTAATAGGTAATACGTTGCCTTTACGGTCAGCCAGGGCTGATATCCCCGTGTCGGTTTTGACTGTATCAGGCTGAATTTCATAAAAGCTCTGATCGACTTGGCACCATGAAAATGAGTGCTAACACCCCAAAATTAACTCTCCCTGTCATTTTGGTACCTGGGGCAACTTTCTGGCTTGTTTATGAACAGGGGAGATTTTAATGGGGTTCAAGATTTTTGTAGTTGTCCTATTTCCTTATCCATGAGGTGTGTTTGGGAGGTACTGAATTTTACAGGAACTGTTTAAAACAAATGTTTCTCTGTACATACGCTTGCTCAGGTTTTCAGCCACCACTGTTCCTATGCATTAACCTGAGAAAATGTCGTGCTGCTGCTGATCCCCCCCCTCAGATGAAGTAGAAAGATATGGAACATTCGGCTGGAAAAAGGCTTGCTTTGGTTTCTTCTGCACTACAGGTGAGGCTCATTTACTTATTGTTTTATTTTTATTTTTATTTTTTTTGAAATAAATTCAGTGACTTACATTCATTTCTATTACAAAAGACAAAAAAGCAAAACACTAACAAACCACAGCAATTACAGAAGGAAAAGATTTAGTATGACTGAAAGAGATCACTAATTTTTCCCGTTAGTCATATCCTTTCAGATCGTTTATAGGGGAGGTTCATTTAAATACTTCGCGGGAAGGATGAGATATGGTACCACCTTTCAGTGACAGGCCACTTCATACAAATAAACGTTCTCCCGGTTAACCTGTATCCCCTTGACTTCTGTGACTTGGCAGAGCATCATGAGATGACAAATGACGTTTACGGAGTCTAAAATTGCAGATGTGTTCAAAAAAGAAACTAGGCAATGTGGAGTGGAGAAGAGACAATGAGTGGAGAGCAGCCGAGCAGTATCCCACCATCCTTACTCCATACCAGTGTAGCAAGTTAACCACACGGGAGAATACTACTGGTCAAACAAACCATTTCACATCCCTCAACTTTCACTACAAACCGGATAGGTACTTTCTTGAAAGGAGACCTCAGCCACACTCTAGCCACTGAACGTGGTTCACTGTTCAAAAAAGTTATCATTTCCCAAATGTCACATCTAAGGGCTGTTTGAGGACACTGTTCTACAAGAAGCTGACCAGTTAAGATCTGTTCTGTTGAAAAGCTAAATGAACACCAAGGACCGAAAGTCAAAGCAATTATTAAAGAAAATTATCTTGAGAAATGGATCTTCTTCTATCTGCCTTCTTAAACTACCATGTTCAAGCTTATCGATCCAGAGGGTGCTCTCAATTTCAGAGCTCGAGAACCTTAACGCAAAGCCAAAACATCATCTCTCCAGTTAGCCTATCTACAAATAAAAGAAGTGACCAACTACATGTCAACCCATAGCCCGTCAACCAAAGCCAAGCAGAAGTATGGGTTCTTTTTATCTTTTAAAACTGTCAACTCTCAGAGCAAAGAACATCTATCTGTCTGGCATAAGCTCCTTATGGTATCAAATATTAAGAGCTGTTAATGAATAACATAAAATGATGATAACAGATACCCTCTCTTTTATAATCGTTCCCCTTCTGATCAAAGAATCTGTTGGCCCTGAATCCCAGGACGTTCTGATTCTGAATGTTTAACACAGTAAGTATCAGCTAAACAAATCTCTCCTTTAGTTCCGGAATCCCAAGGCTTAAGGCAACTCCGTGTAACAGAAACACCAACAAATCTGTACGTAGCGCACAGAACGAAAGTAGCAGGCTAACCATTACAAGTGCCTTGTTTCCCAGAACTGAGAACACGTACTTTGCCTTCAGCGTCTCCTCCTGAAAATTCCAGTGTGGATCTTCCACCAGCTGTAATTCTCTCAATACCCTTCCAGGCTTGTAAGCTGCATTGATTATCATGCTAAGAACCTGTTGGGGAAAAAAAAAAAAAAACAGCAATGAACTTCAACTGCATCCATTCCTGCTAAGACAAGAATGCTACAAAAACCACCCAGCTGACAAGAAGTATTTGTGGTACGAATCCATTAAGTTGGGCAGAACATTTTTGCAGCCAGACACCGATTCGGCTTACCATCCACGCGATAAAAAGGGTGGTAAATTCCAATCCCTCTGGCAGGGCATGTGAACCTCTGGCCAGAGGGGATGGCAGACTCTCCCTAGCATGTCTGATTGAAGAAAAACGGATCTATTTCCTCCAAAGAGCCAGTGATTATCTCCAACAGGATTACTCTGTGGTAGGATCGGCTACTGAGAATTTCATTTTATTTTTGAAAATAAATTTCAAAAGGAATCAGTGAGACAGAGGCAACAGATTTGTGCCCATAATTCCGAACAGACTTCAGCTATCTGTCAGGAGACTAACCAAGTATTTGGAACTCACCTGATGCTAGCTCAATACATGGATGTTTCGTATGAGGACAATGCCCTGAGATGTGAGTGCTTCAAAGAACTTCGTGGAGTAACCAATACCATCCGATATCCTATTTCCTCAAACCTCCCCTTTATTCCCAAGTCTGAGGAAGAACACCTGTGGTCACTGCCTTCCGTGACACTCCCAGAAAGATGGGACATTTTGCTCTGTGAGCCTCAGCTGCAGGCTCTAAGAAGCTCCATGTTCCTGTTAACCTCGATGTGCCCCATGAATGGTAAAGATCGTGGAATTCAGATTCCTTGGGGCACTCCCCCTTCCGTAAGCAAATCATCATTAACCATGAACGTTTATGAGTTCCGGCATGTTCCAGAGATGCTGCCATTTGGACCGACCGTCTAAAGAACACGAAGGTACACCGCAGCCTCCAAAGGAATGCCGACACCCACTCTGTGGAGTTCCACGAAAGGCCCCTTGCTGAGGACCTGCCGTGTGTCAGCCCCCAGGAGCAGGGGCAGGAACGGGACACAGCACCCAGCACGCCTGCAGTGTCTCCCCGTCCACCAGGGAAACCAGCCAGGCACTGAGCTCATGTTTCAGGTTTCAGGGCAAAACACACACCACTGAGGGGGTGAGAAATGCCCTGACTGCCAAAGTCCCCGCTGCTTTTGGGGAGGACACCGCACAGTATCAATGCGAGGATGGAGATCAATGTACGTGGCCCGGGTTTTTAGGTCACAGCGTTCGTGGATCTAAAGTGTTCCAGAACACAACTGGCATGCCTTTGCCCTGATTTAATTCTGAAAAACGACAAAGCTCCCTCATATTATAACTGAAGAATCGATCTTAAAAATATTTTAGACTGTGCAATGAGCATGCCAAGTGTCTTCTCTGAGCCGGGGTAGCACTCCGCTATGTTGCAAGGTTCCTATAGATCCCCAGCAAGAGCACACGGGCCGGCCAATCCGCCGAGGCACTAAAAGGCCAAAACAAGGCCGTACAAGCAGTTTTGCTGTGTTTACGTTTTCTGTATTAGAATAATCATCTGATTTTATTGTTTACTGTCAGTACAATTTGCAGAAACCGAGTGTAAAAATAAATCCAATTAGAGCTGGCTGAAATAATACGCCAAGTATTTATCAACAGACAATAAAATTTAAACCGATTCTTTCCATTGTGTTTCGCAAGGAAGGGCCCAGAGCTACATGTTATTTGCTGCAGAGCATTTGGAGACGGTGAAAAAAAAATGCCTTCCAGAGTTCCATTCAGCCTAGGAACAGGCAGCCATTAAGTTGTCAAAAGCGTCCAATATTGAATAATTTTCCCATGGCATTTCCGATGCCACCTCATGCGTTGCCAAATTCAGCAGGCCCTCTATCAAACGTTGGGGCTGTGAGCTGAGTAATTCTTCGGTTCGTGACATCTTGGTATATTACAGCTACCTCTAGGAAGACAACTCAGTTGGCAGCTGGTAGCACCATCCAGAGTCAGAATTACTGCTCCTTGCAAAATATGGAAGCTCAGGTTGCTGTATTATGCCCTTGATCACGAGGGGTTGTAGAGACCCCACTCCCAACTAACTGGCAGGATGCTGAGTGTGAAGTTAATAAACACTACTCCCAATAAACTGGCATAAAGGTGTTTGCGTAACTCCAGGAGGAAAATCACGCTCCAGGGATCCTTCCCTCGATTTCTTGGAGTTCATGACGTGGTTATGGAGAACACACCTTACACAGAAGTCTCCATGGTGTCCTCCAGCAGATAGGCAGGTAACTGCCATTTCTCTCGTTCATAAGGGGATCAGAACATTCCACCTCAAAATATGCCACTTTGGCATAGGATTACTTTGAGCTGAAGGCAACTGAGAAACTGCACACACGTGTCCCTTCGTAAAGCTGTTTCCTCCTCACTTCCGTAGCCAGAGGAGGAAGACAGCAACCCTTGTCACTGGAGGAGATGAGTCTGCACAAACCAACTTTACTAAAAGAGCCCTTAAGTTCCATTAGTTTCTCTTATTCTTACCTTCCCACAATTTACCATCCTAAAAGCCCAAACCCTTTTCCTTCATCTCTCACCTCTCCATACTGCAGTACTGTTTGTTAAAATGGTACGTAAACACCTCAAGCATAATGGCCTCTTTGGGTTTTCACTTATCTTCTGTGCATGCGACATAAACCTTTTCTCCTACTAATCTGTTTTGTGGTCGGTTTAATTCGCAGGCCCCAGTCACTAAACCTAAGAGTAGAGATTTTCCTTCTCTACAATAGGGGATGTCATGAGAAATAAAGAAGATCACATCTTGGCATACAAAAAAGGTTTAAAGGTAGCCCAAATCTCAGTATCAATGCAGTCCTCACCAACACATAAAATAAACTGTGCCTCTCCCTGCTCTATCCCCACTGGCCCACACGGATGTCAGTCTTCACATCTTGGCAAAATAGTTCTGCTTCAAAGCTCCTTGACTTTCTTGCTACGGATTCCTTTGCAGAACTCAGCTTCTCATAAAAAAAGACTCTATACTTTTAATTTCCTCCTCTTCAATTCCATTCTCAACTGACCTAAATCCGGTTTTCTCTCTAACCACGACACACGAGTGCCCTGGGAAGGTCACCGAGGACCTGCCACCAAATCCAATTAGCACGCCCGTCTCACTGGGCCTCTGAGGAATCTGGCCCTGCGTTCCACCACCTGGGCCTGCAACACCTCTCTCCCTGCTTCCCTCCCTCTGCTCGGCAGGAACAAGCGCTCGTTCAGAAAGTGGGGAGTGGGGTCAGGTGCATGGGGGACGGCAGGAGGGGTCAGAGAGAGGAGGGGGAACACAGGTAGGTGATGCCAGTGGGAGAGGAGCTCACTCTGCACACCGTGTGGGGCACACAGGAGCCGCTCGACAAACGTGGGTCTCTTCCCCCCCACGCCTCCCCTTTCCGGGGCTCAGAAGATTATGTAAATCGATGGGATTTTTTTTTTTTGTTCACATCATGAAATTATGTGATTCCATGATTTCTTTTCATACTCACGATCATGAAAACTCCCAAAACACCAAAGTAATTTAGATAATTTCCAAACTCAACTATATCATATGATCAAAGTCAGAACAATGTTGAAAGTGCAGGGAACCACTTAATAAGAAAATTATTTCTTTGAGTGTCAAAATCAGAAAACACTTTAGAAAGCAAATATGGTTCCCACAGCTTGAGTTCGGATGATTTAATGGAAAGGAGACAGATTCTCAACTTTGAAAGTATGTAATTTGCTAAATTCTAGTGACTGCAGGGAAGGCTCTCTTTGGGGGAGATCGGCTTCCAACGGAACATGCAGGAGAATATTCCCTCTCTGGGGGGTGGGAAGGGGGGTCAGAAAAATGATCTGGACACAAAGAAGCCTCCCCCACGTGCTCACTCTGCTTCAACAGACCTTTCTGCTCTGCAGTCTCTCCAAGAGTCCTGGTGACAAAAATTAACTGGGACCATCAAAGGCCGTCGTGGGCCTAAAGCATTTTTTCCTTTTCAACCTCAGAATCAGATGGAACGGAGCTAATTTTATAAATAGGTCGGTTGTTTTTTTCCCCCAGTAAAATGATAAAGAATTGTTCCTGCTTAATCAGCAGTCTCTCCATGCACAGGGTTTTGAAACGAGCCTCGAAAAGAAAACAAAGCAAAAAAGCTTTTCAAGTGATTTACCCCTTAAAACTAGGTGTTTTCATTTTGTCTCCTCAGAAACTAATGGCTCTAGGTATATTCCTTTGCAAATGCTGCATCTAATACTAAATATTATCTAATGATAATCTTCATGTTCATCACTCCTTTTGTTGTTGCAAAAATTTTAATGCTAACAGCAATAATCAGACATATTTTACCAAGTAGAGAACTCCATTGCTTTGGCCAAAACTGATCTCGACTTTCATTTCAATCCTCAACGGAAGGCTGACCTCCCCTGGCAGCCCACCACCCTGGAGGGGAGGCGCTCCCTCCGTCCCAGCGGCAAGGCTAGAGCCCCAGGGCTGCCCTGGTAGGTAGTCTTTCCCCCAACCCAACCCCATACCAATGAACTCCTGCCTTTATCGCTTCAACTTGATTAAAAGATCATTCCCCCAAAGAGGCTATAATTCTCAGGAATTCTCTACCTCCCCCTGGAAGACCAACAGGAGAATCCCATCATACCCTAAACTTCATTCACCTCAGTCACCAGAAACCCAACACTTCCAGAACATTCTTTCTGCTCGGAATCCGATTCCCATATAACTCTGCATTTCTCCCTAATTTTGACCCAATCGCAAGCCCCTCCATGCATTACCAGTGCATCCATTCTGCCCTCCATCATCAGCAAAATATCCTAGAGCCCAAAATGCTTTTTCCAGAATATTCTTCTTCACCTTATGGTTTTCCCTTCCGTTCTGGACTGAATTGTGCACCCCCACCCCTATTCATATGTTGAAAGGCTTAACCTCCATGTGAGGGCATTAGGGGTGGGGCCTTTGGGGGGAGATTAGGGTTCGATGAGGTCATGAGGTTGGCACCCTCGTGATGGAGAGAACCTTTGT